CCACTTTCACAGGAAACAACCAAGCACGGTGTAGTGGTCTGCTGTCCTCACTTCTTGCAAGAGTATCGTCATTATCGGGCGCAAACTTGTCATTGTAATGATACAACCGTCACACGGGTAACCATCCCACGGATTCTAGGAAAGGTTTTGGTTTGATAGCTAACAAGAGGGAGTATGAATCGACGTACCAGGCTATCGGGCTGAATATTTTACGGTTAAATTCGAACCCCAAGTGACTGGGAGAAAACGTAACTAACAACGTACTATACTTCGCCCCCTGGGTGTTGTTCCCCTTAGCTGTTTCCTAAACTTCCCCACCTTTGTTCCGCTACGTTGCACTGACTTTAGGACTTGGAACTAAAGTTAGGTTCACAATTATATGTCCCGTGCCCGTGGGTATTACGTGCGTCGCGTCATGTGGCGTTTTTACGGGTGTCCATGTCCAGACTGTCCTACTATAGGTGGGGGCCGCTTCCTGCCGGCATACAGGCTGTTAGTGTTAATATAGCAAACATCATGTAGCCTCAGGGATCAGTCTGCATGTACTACCTAATGACGCCTGGCGACGATGTGCACTCACTCTCCACACACTACACAGGACGCTCTCCAATAGCATGAAGCACACATTATTCAGCAATGGGAGCCACAGGGGGATCCGGGAAGGAAGGTTGTGTACCGTCCCCATGATAATTACTGAACTCATAGACACTGATGCGTACTAACTGTTCTCCAAGTCCACAAAATATCACATCAAAAACAGTCTTTATGGAAATTTTTCTAGCAGAGAGTACTACGATAGCGACTGCAACACGCTCGGCTCGGTGAATCACATGTAGCTAGTGCTCGTAGCCTTATTGAACACTCTAGGTTAGTGTTGCGCTATATCTTACTGCACAGTGTGACTGGCTAATAACGCGTGCTTTGTCCTTGTGACTGCATTCTCTCGCTGTTGTTTTTGTCTCTACATAGTATATTAGATATCTAGACATTATGTACTACACATTTTATCCACGGTGCGTGTTTGCCTTTTGCTTTCTTTTTCTTTCTTTCTCCTCTTGCTCTCTGTCCTCTCCTTTTTCTGTCTTTCTCTGCGCAAGAAAAATGTTTAGTGTTGTTTTTCAGCAAAAGCACCACATGTGTATGCCCGCACCGGTATTATGCACAAGCAGTGGTATGTATATTGTGCACCAGCAGTGGAGGTAAAGTGTATATTGAGGTTGGGAGGATATTGTGATAGAGCCAGCATGTAATATCTCTTTGGAATGTTCCCCAATTTGAAGGGTCAAAGTGTAATACCTCCCTCTACTACATTTATACAGGTAAAAGGGTATATACGGTACTGTTGGAGGGAGGAAGGGAGGAGAGAGAGGGGAAGAGACATGGAGGGAACTCCTCCGTCTGACCCAGCTCTCCAGGTATATTTACCACAAATCATTTTTGTGTGATAATGTAAACCAATGGTAGCCTCAGGGCACAGGAACTAGGTACATGTACAGGGTGGTCGGCTAGTACTGATAGGGCTGTACTGATAGGGCTGTACTGATAGGGCTGTACTGATAGGGCTGTACAGTAGAGCTGTACAGTAGGGCGTATTTGTTGTACGTGCACTGTGCTCACTGTAAGTAAGGATATTCATTACTCCAGCGTCTCTAGAGGTGTTTTTTTATGCTGATGGTTCATTTGTGGCTCCTATGAATGTGCATGTGTTCCGTCCACACTACATCAGATTATACATCTCACTTGCTGTGGTTGCTGGGTATTAGCCAACAAGAGCACACTCCTTTCAAGTCACCCTCCTCTATACCCTAAACTTTCCATCAGTAGTGTATATACTAGGAGCTTTCTTTTGGCCTGCATGGTATACACCTCAGCTAAATGTGTGACTGTATATAGGCATTCCAAGAATGTGAGGTGTTTTTGTATTAGTTGCACATAATGTCTGAGAGGAAGGCTAACATGAAACGAGGTTTCTCCTACTGGGAAGATTGGTCGTGACGAGACATTATGACAGGAGCTGTCTCTCTGATGGGGTAAATAGTGTATTGTGATCTTAGCAGTTGAGAGCTGTCTGTTTGTCCTGCGCTGAACTTCAAAGACAGTCAGTGTGAAAGGAGCATTGTGTGGGTAAAGCTGGTGGTGTAATTGTTAGGATTGGCTAGGTTGGCTCTCACAAGAGATGTGAGATATGGTTTCCTCAGTGTTGGGAACCCCTATTATCACGGCTTCTAACAGACATGTCATAAAGTATTATCGACCACTACTACAGCGCACGTGGTCTTTTCCATCACATATGATTCAGCTTAAACCCTGCAGTAGTGAATCACACACACACACCACACAACTCCAGGGAAGTCACTGTTTACTAAATGTGCGAGGACCTTATTAAGAGATGCCACATGCTTCGAAGATTCCAGCACGTGCTTCCTCCCATTCCCCTGTGAGTAAAGCAACAAATTCCTACTCGCACCACATCAGTGTGTGTGTATACATAGCTGTACTACTTGCATAGTAATAGGTGGTTCGTACAGGGCTTATCCACCTGCTCTATTTTATATCATTTTTAATCCACTACGATGCACATGCATGGCGAGGGATTCTGTATTATACCAGGTCAGTGTGTGTGTGTGTGTGTGTGTGAGTGAGAGTATGTCTCTTGTCTGTTTGTGTTGGTGTGTGTGTGTGTCTGTTACTGGGCCACAAAGCGACCAAAAAGAGATCAACAGCCTCAGGACATGGTCTACAACAAAAATGTGATATTCATGAAACTATACACTACGTTTCCAGTCCTTCGTACACCCACTATTGTAGCTAGAGCAACAAGATTGTGTGGTATGCCCCGACCTTTGAACTTTGCTCGTTTGCAATTGTGTTCACAATTTTATGCAGGTGCTGCTGGTTAGCCCTTTGCAGAATACCCTCTCTTGAGACTTTCCTCATTTCAGTGTGGTTAATTAGAGGGGCTCACATCGTTACAAGGGGAGCAGACATCCATTAGTCGATGGTAGCTACATACGTATCACACTGGCAAGACTCCAAGCGAGGGTTGTTTTGGTAGCGGTATGTACATAGCCCGGTTTGTTATTACACACCACTAGCTGTGTGTGAACATGTTGTACAACTGTCTATGGGAATATACAGCTCCCTCATTCGTTTCTAGTGAAAGTGATAGCCCATCGTCACAGAACCTATAATAATTATAGTAACTCTCTCTGTGCTTTGGCATCGAAGTGTGGCACTTCTTATGCTGCAGGCACCAAACAAGAACGACAACTCTCTATAATAGATTTTGAGGTTCCACTGCACCTACATATAGCTACAGCATGGAAAGAACAGACACAAGCTTATTGTATGACTCCAATAATGTTAAGCCTTTTATTACATTACATAATCGGCATGAAGTGTAAACGTCTCACCACTTGCATGCATGAACATAGTCCACAGTTGATGCATTCCAGAGCCCACCCTAGACTTAACTGTTTGATAACACTTCTGTCTTTGACATGTGTTAAATCCCTCTCGTGTTACCATACCACTCACGGTCTGTTTGTACACCAGCCCTTGAATCACTTGAGCCCTTGCCTTAACACACACACAGACTCCCTTTGTTAGTTGCTATCCATTTACACTTTGGTGAGCTGGCCACTGTGTATGTACGTTTGTTGGATATCCCTAGGCAACCGACATGTATGAAGCTAGGTAGCTACTAGGGGATTGTATCAGCCTATACAATCCTACATGTGCAAGAAGGGTTCATACATGTCGTTTGCCTAGGGATATCCAACAAATCTGTTGCAGTATTACAGGGCGAATGCTGTCCTGTCTGGGTACTGCAACATTATATAAATACATACAAGTTTATGTTGCCATGAGACTACTTCACATATTATTTTGTTGTGCATGGTGGGTTCCAAGGCGCAGATTACTCATTTTTGTATTTCTGTGTCAGCAACACGTGCTCATGCAAGCAATGCAGCTGTACCCACACTATAGTGAGTGTAGTTCAGCATAATGTACGTATAATGACCCCCGAACTTGTGTTTTTAATGCTCTGCACATTTCTTTGTTCGGTCTGGGGAGTTCTTTCCTTGCGACTCCTTTCAGACTTGCGTCTAGTTTTATATGAACAAGTAAGTTTGAACTGAGGTGGCTGGCTGGGTATACCTCTCTTTGAAGCCATGGTGCTCTCCATTCAGTTCATGTGTTTTGTGGCAAAGATTGATCTATTTAGTGAGTGAAGCATTACTCAGTCGTCCGAATGCTCTGTTTTTCCATAAATATAGGTTATACTGCACGTCAATGGAAATACGCAATTTAGACGGCACGAGGGGCCCTGAGCTGTAGCTGTCTGAGCGCAGCGAAGATGCTACTAAGGGCTCCGAGGCCGTCTATATCGTGTATTTCCACTGACAAGCAGTATAACCTGTTTAGACGGAGGCCGTGCTGGCCGTCAAAATCGCCCAGGTCCGTCGTCTTCCGCGAGACTCGCTCTCGCTGGGGGAAGCTAAAAAGGTGCATCGTAGAGAGGCCTTTCATCGAAGGAGCATCGGATATAACGAGTTTGAAGTCGTTGCGGCGAGCTCTCAGCAACAGAGCGAGTTTCTTTGTGCAGAAGCTTGCCACACCCCCATCGAAGACGCCATTTTTTGGCGGGCGTCTCCGTGGAAACACGCACTTTGAAAACACGGGATTTAGAATCCACGTTTTATGCAATCTGATTGGTCCATTTGAATCTGCCGACGTCTAACTGACGATGACGACAGCACAGTCGCACAGATTGTGTTTTGTGTAACTCTAAATAGACAGAAGTTTCACAATATTATTGTCTATGCCGTACGTGCTCCCCAAAAATGCCATGCATTTGTTGTGGTAGTTTAATACAGGATGCATTACATTCCAATACACTAATTTGCCAGATGCCTTTGTGTGGTTCTCATTGCAGGGTAGTGAGAAAAAATCCCAAGAGTCGACTCATCCTTTAACTCTGTGTAACTTTGTCAGACGGCTAGAATGACGCTGTGCATTTTTGTGTTAGTGTCTTGTTCGTTAGTCTAGCTACCCTGTCCTGCCTCCTCCTCCCTCCCCCACTACACATGACTGACCATCCCCCCCCCGAGCATGAGAAAACAATTTTAGCTCCCTGTCTGTCTATTTCTATTAGGTCATACGTATTTGTTTTGTTTCAGCAGACAGATGAAAGGTTTAATGTTGTAGTTGAGTTTTTGTTCATTGCATCTTCATGGTTTGGGGATTCTTACCTACCAACATACAGAATAATAAGGGTGCTAACACCCGTACACTATATATGTAGACTGTTTACTTATTACTCGTTACGTAATCTTACCTTGCCGTTCGTATAAAGAGTGTATGCACGTGGAAAATAATCAGATTTGAGACTCAGCCAGAGTCACTGAGAGAGATGAGCGTTGCCACGCGCAAGGCTGGTCATGCCACAGATGTGTTGTGTTCCTTGATTATGACCACTGCAGCACCAGAAAGTCTGTATGTATTGGTTTGCTTGCCTTAATCCCAGCCCAGAGTTGCCAATTTAAGAGATAAGAGATGAAATGAGGGAGGGAATATTATCATGTACTTTCGTGTCTTTTTTCTCCCTATTTTTGCATCCAAATTATTGCCTCTGTGCAGCCACAAAACCATAAAAATAATACGCGTGCGCTTGTTCAAAATTATTAGAAGTGTTTCCGAGACAAATAGAATCAGACGGTACCGTAGCCCTTTAATTTAGAGAGAACCCCAGGCAATTGGGAGCAGCAGTAATCTGTCACCGCTTTAGTCTGTGAGACGATTTTTGCTGTTGCAGTGTTCGGTTTTTTTTTTTTTTGTTTGGTGGGTGTGGGGGTGGTTGTTGGGGGTTGGGGTTTGGGGTTTGTGGGGTGGGGGGTGTTGGGTGGGGTGGGGGTTGTGGGTGGTGGGGGTTTTGGTGGTTGGTTTGGGGTTGGGGGTGTGGGTGGTTGGGGTGTGGGTTGTGGGGTGGGTGGGGGGGGGGGTGGGTTGGTGTGTGGGGGTGGGGGGTTGGGGGGTGTGTGGTGGGGGTGGGTTGTGGTGGTTGTTTGGGTTGGTTTGGGTTTTTTTTGGGTGTGGTGGTTGGGTGTGGTGGGGGGGGGGTTTGTGTTGTGGGTTGGGTGGTGTGGGTGGGGTTTTTTGGGGTGGGTGGGTGGGTTGGGGTTTTGGGTGGGTGTTTTTGTGGTGGGGGGGTGGGTGTTGTTGGTGTGGTTGTTTTGTGGGGGTGGTTTGGGGGTTGGGGGGGGTTTTTGTGTTGTGTGGGTGGGGGGGGTGGGTGGGTGGGTTGTGGGGGGTGGGGTTTTGGGGTTGGTGGGGGGTTGGGGGGGTGGGGGGGTGTGGGTGGGGGGTGGGGGGGGGTGGGTGGGTGGGTGGGTGGGGGGGTTGGGGTTTTGGGGTGGGTTTGGGGGGGGTGGGGGTGGGGGGGGGGGGGGGTGGGGGGGGGTGGGGGGGGGTGGGGGGGGGGGGGGTGGGGGGGGGTTGTGTTTTGGGGGGGGGGGGGGGGTGGTGTGTTTGTTTGTGGGGGGGGGGGGGGTGGGGTGGGGTGGGGGGGGGGTGGGGGGGGGGGGGGGGGGGGGGGGGGGGGGGGGGGGGGGGGGGGGGGTGGGGGGGGGGGGGGGGGGGGGGGGGGGGGGGGGGGGTGGTGGGGGGGGGGGGGTGGGTGGGGGGTGTTGTTTTTGTTTTTTTTTTTTTTTTTTTTTCTATCTGTTGATTGTCATACATCACGTCGACCCACCTCACTTGCTATCCATGATAGCACTTATTCATATAATCTCGGTGTGAATGCAGCGGAGTTTTGGGGGTACAACTGGTCTCTCCTCCCTCCATGCACCTCTCCTCCTGTGTACATACCCTCTATATCATCTTCCAACCTTATTGTCGTCTCTTCTTTTCTGACCTTGGACCTTCCTTTAGTCTCCATGATAGTCTCTCTTCCTCTCTCTCTTGTGTCAACGCTGCTCAATCGCGGACATAGCCGGCGCTTTGTTCCTCTCGTTAAAAGTGGCACAATACTCTCCATTGTGGATGTGGTGTGTGCCTCATGTACCCAGTGCCATATTATAGCCACGGTTTAGCAAAAACCTTTTATGGAGCTCTCTCTGACACTCTATTGCATTAGATTGCAGGGTCAGCCTCCACAATGCAGGCTGCAGCTACATCAGGACACAGCATTTAATTGTTTTTTTGTACGGGAAAATATTCTCGGAATTCGGCAAACGAATACACATTTGCCCCAACGAAAAACGGTAGTCGTTTAAGTCCATTAAATCCGGTTTCAGTCGGGGTGAAGGGTAAATGTGGAACGTCTGTTCACTTTGGGTCATCTATCATCGCCCTTATTTATATTCCAGGCCCGCGTGTTCTATCTCAAGACCTGCATGGGGCCTGGTGGGCTCAGTTCTACTTATCCCTATATTGGGCCACACGCCAGTCTCCTCAGTCTGTGTAGACAAAGAGGAAAGTATTGTAGAAAGCTTTCTCTATTGTGTGTAGTCAAAGGACTGCTAACAAACCGAGTTGTTTGTTTGTGGCATCCAATTGTTAAAGAAGGTTGGCTCTGTGTTTTAGTGTATTCATGACCATATTTAGCTCTACTATGCCACCCATAATTGAATTTTCATGAAAACAACAAATTAGACGACTCATTATTCATGTAGAGTAGTATCGGCAGCATTTTAAAGTACTTACTATATGCCATGCCACGCCATCCCATACCAACCAACGTACTCTAAAATTCCCCACTGCCCCTCCAATTATTAGCTACCTTTTCCACAGGTGCAAATGGGAAAACCACACAATGAAACCGTGAGGCACCTCCCTAAGAATCTAGACTATGGAGCTACATAATACTTCTGTGGCCTTGCACCACAGAGGATCCACAGCAGTAATCACTGGAGTCTTACGTGAGTCTACGCAATTAAAGACACAATAAGAAAAAAATACCCTGACCCCCAAGAACCAGCGAGAGGGAATAAATTTGCTCGTGGCGTCCAATTGTGGACACAGGGAGCAATTGAGCAACATACAAGACAACTTTTGTCTGCATCGCTTAGTTTCTAGAGCATCCTCTTTGAGCCTTGCACCTAGCTACCTATCACACGAAATAGACTGCAAATTAAGAACCATTAAGCAATGTGAATCTTACCTACTAGCTAGCTCCTATATACACTGCTGCCGCTGCGACTGCTGCTATGCCACTGCTGCTATACCACTACTACGCTAACTCTTCTCTCGTTCTATTAGTCAAGCAGTATGGCGCACTAGTCAAACCCACCTGTGGCTCACAGTGCAATAATTACAGGGTTGCCCGTATTATTGAATTAGTTCACCCTAATTGCTAAAAGTGGTGCCGTTGGACCTCCCAGAGAATTTACAAGCTTGGCTGATATTTTTAGCAGTCTTACTACTAACTTCTGCAGCCTGGACTTTCTTGTTCAATATACAATGGTCTGTTGCGCTAGGAAACTAGCTGGGCTGTGTGGAATAATTAGAGGGAGGGCCCTACAATTTCCCCTACAGATTTCCTTTATAGATTGCATGACCTATGAGGTCGGTAATAATTAGGGGGTCAAGCTCCAGTAGGTGGCTACTATAGAGAGGGGTGGTCATAGCAGAGGGCTGGTCATAGCAGAGGGCTATGACTAACTACGGGCAGTATGGAGAGTTTCTGGTTGCCATTACCAGATGTGTGTGTCCAGTGAGCGTCAGCTGGCGACTACCCTAGAGATTTCCCTGCCTAGCCCAGTTGGCTATTCTATACTGGCTCAGTTTGCCACATACAGCTGTGTATGCAGCTAGTCCTAAGGCCCAATAGAGGCTAGGCCGTGGTGGCAGTGTTCAAGGTCACCCTCAATAGTGATATTCATAGCTACTCTCTCTCTCTCTCTCTCTCTACCCTGTCTTATAACGTGGCATCATTGAAGTGCGTTTTGCGGGGAAATGCACCGGCCACAACTCATTGCTGAATGGTTTTTGGTGACAAACTTCATTCATCGGACAATTAGGTCCCATTGCCACAGGGGTGATAAATAGGCTAAGCGTGTTAGGTGGAGCATACCTACGTAGCTAGCCGGTAGTTCCATCAGTATTGATTATTGCAGGGTGATAGCCCGGTTCAATTTATGCAGATTCACGGTTGTGAATTATGATAGCTCTGATTGCAGGGGCGACCACCAGCAAATTGGACTATGCCACCGCTGCAAGTTTGGAGCAGTGCAAAGGTGACCAGCAACGTACAGTAGCTGTCAACTGTGACCTACCAGTGGTCTACATCGCCCTATGATCTGTCTAGCTGCTATGATCTTACTCAAAATGCACTGGACCAGCCAAACTCATAGAGAGAGTCAAACGATGTGCACATGCAGCCACTCACCTTCTCTCATGCACTAGAGGAGAAACTAAGTGACGCGAAACCCTCTACTAGGCCTTACTAGGCTACACTCAGTGCCGTGAACCCCAAAGTGAACGCTGAAGTCCACACGCGGCTCAGCTCTCACCAGAATGCACAAACAGGGTGGAGTAGCTGATTTTTGGGGGGTGTTACTGTGGGACACAATCTAATAAGGTAGTCTAGACATTAGCCTTTTCTCCTAGGTCAGAGCATGACCCTACTCAGATGGAGAGTAAGCAGGCAGCCTGCAATTTGTTCCAGCTTGATTAGCCAGAATTAGCTGGGACAACTATCCATTGTCCCTGGGCATGAGCCCATGGGCTCTCAGGCCACAATGTGATTTCTGCCAATTAGGACTTTGGCCGTGCTCACATTCCACTCATTTGTGGCTGGCTCCATGCTCACAGACACACACTGACAACACACACTACTCCCTATGCACAAGGTAGAGCACTCCCTATGCATCCAGGACAGTTGCAAAAGCAGTTTTCTTTTATTCAGACTGTTTTTCTCCAGGTTCATTTTCTGATGTGAATCTGGGCAAGCTTGGGTGATGTAATATTGGCCCATATCCATCTGCCAGGTAAGTATATAGTGTCATAATATTCTTTCTTCCTCATATGAGGGCAAGGGAAGGAGGAACGCATTGCTTCCACATGACTAACAGTCAAGGTAGATCCTGCATGCTGACCATGCAGAGGACCATCTCGGCATGTTCATAAAGAAGGAGTAGACTGAGATGCCACCCCACCATGCCCTATGAGGGCACCCAATGTGGACTCAGCCTGAGAAAGAGAAAGTCTGGGTCTGAAAATGGGCATTACAAGAACCAATTACCTGTTACAAAGGACTCTAGACTAAATAGCATTATGGTTAATGTGGGGGTTCATTGGAGTGTATTATATACATGGGCAAACCAGCTCTTTTATATAGTTATTATACCACCATGAAGACACCCTGCACTATTGGGTTTCCCCACAGTGACCCCCCCCTATCTAATCAAGCAGCAGCTGCTCTTGTGATAGGGGAACAAGCTATCAAAATGGGGTAGTTTGTATTACCCCACAAAGTATGTACTCCCACTTTCTCATAATTATTGTGTGTTTAGCTATAGGAATGCATGACACACAATTATTCAAGTGTTATGTACAAATGCACAGTCATGCTGCGACATTTTATACCCTTGCGTGAGTCAGTTATTCTCTCGCACACAAAGCTCGCCCAACATTTACTAGTGGGAAGTTAGAAAAATGGATGTCTACTTGAATTTTGAAGTTGTGCTATAACTTTTTTCTTACACAGGTCAATGCTTTTGCAAAGGTGTGGGACCTACACAAACTGCAATTTTCTTTATGTGTGTTATTTTGTGTGTTATTTTGTGTGGTGTGTGGTAGCTATACACACAAATTGCAGTCTCCGCTGCGGTTTCCAAGCGCGCGTAATAGGGGAGGTCAATTTTTGCCCCCGCGGGGTAATTCCTGCCCCGTTCGGATCGGGTACGAGACAGACTAAGCTCTGCCGGTATGGACCGGAAGTATGGGGCTGGGGGCGCTGGCGCGGTAAAAGAAGGGCGTAGCTGGCAGAGCTCAAGAAGCGGTGCTAGAAGGATGCGCGATGAAGCTGCTATTGCTAATATTGGCGTGGATATGCCCGCAGACGACGACAGCCTTCGTAAGTTTTTGCACGTGAGCTAGCCCAGCCTTCTTACTGCATCTTCCCCTTTGTCCACTCTTTCCCTGTCGCGCCGCAATATCAGAGCTGTGGTGAGTTCAGACCTGTTGCATGTCGAATCCAGCCGACCACCATCCCACCTCCTCGCCCTCTGCAGCACAACCTCCAGTGGTGACCACAGACTACAGGTTCCAGTTCAATGTGACTCAGATCAGTGTGAGCTTCGGCTCTTACATCAGAGTGGAGTAAGTCCAGATCCTGCATAGTTGCAGTCGGGAGATGCATGCTCCACTGTTGCTTGCTTTAGGTGTAAGGCTGATCCAAATACCGATGTTACTTCCTACGTGTGGCAGAAGAATGGCGAAAACATCGAGGAACCGTCACTCTTTTCCTAGTAAGATTCATGCAATTTGCAGCGCCACAGCTCTGATGCTGTGTGTGTGTGTGTGTGTTATTAGTGAGGTGCCCCTGTAGTTTTCTCACGATACGAGATCTCTCAGTGGAGGACGGAGGCCAGTATAGGTGTGAGGTGGCTACTGCAACTTGTGGCAATGGATACTCTACTGAAATCTCTATCAACAGTGAGCAAGCAGTCATTAACATATCTGAATGGTTGGGCTCTGTACCAAATATGGCCATATCATGACACTCCATGTGCAAAGATAGTAACAAGCAGCATGCACATGTGGTTATTGTTTCTATGTATAACACTTTGGGTAGTGCCATACAAACTGTTTGATACCTGGGGAAAAGTACATGGCTTCATTAATAAGATGTGTACTAGCTACACTCAAATACAGTGTTGAAATCAACTGAAATCTTCCTCCTCCACCTATATACCTCACCTGCAGCTCAACCAGATGATGTGGTAGTATCAGGTCCACCCTCTGTGGCCATGGGTCACCCCTTCCAACTGTCCTGCACCAGCAATGGGTGGCCCCCTCCTAATTATACTGTAGGTTAACACTGCAAGATATGAATTTTGGGGGGTTGTAGGTTTATGTATATATCTGGGAATGATGGGACTGACTTAGCTACACCACAGGCTGTCCACCTCACATTATAAAATTCCCTCAATACACACCAACACTGCAGTGGAGTATGAATGGAGTGACGGTGGGGGTTGGCAACCTGTACAGTGTGTTGTCTGCTGGACCTTCGGACGCGGGAGAGTACACGTGTGTTGCTACCAACAGCCGTGGTCAAATGGAGGGCTCACTGACAGTCACGGTGTCAGTCACCTCTACAAAAGGTCTTTACTCATCTAGAACAAATACAACACCTTTTTGGCCAGCATATGCATTGCAAGTCTCTTTTCCACAAGGAAACATTTTTGCTGTAACTCTGTTGTCATTACACAATTCATGATAATACCAAACCCTTTGTTGAAAGTTATTACAAAATAGCTGGCAAAACACAACATAGCTTTACTACGTGAAAATACTTTCACTTTTGGTATACCAACTTCTATATAGTGCTCTCTCGTTCTCCAGTATTGCCTTCAACTCTTGCTGTTTCCCCGGAGGAGTCAGCAAAGACCTCAATGTCTACCTACACAGATGCAGTAAGAAAGCTATAGCTCAGAGTACGTATATAGCTACTGCTGGTATAGTTCTAATTTGAGGTAACCTAGTGAAGAAAGCTATCTGCCAGCACTTATGCACTTACGTTACTATGGCGTGAAGCTGCCCTAGTAAGTATACTCATGAAACTGATAAACTGACTTAATTGTAGTCAATGGCTGGGAGGATGAGGACTATTAGGCCTGGAACTGTTGGCAGCACAGCACAGCCTGCAACAAAGAGAGCGTTGTCAACACCAGGACCCTCATCAGCAACTGATGATGGTGTGTTTTTATTACAGGAGCCTTGGCATGGTGTCGCTATTAATCGTCATAACCCCCAATTTTATATTAATACGTGGGTCATAATGCAATATTAGCCTGCCTGTTTGAAGGGGGGGGGGTTTACTGACCAAATTTTTTCTTGGCATGGTAACCAATGAAGTTTAAAAAAATACCCCAGCTTTATAAATCTCGATCAGCCTTAACCTCTTAATCTCTAGTGCTGTATTGAATGCAGGTCCAACTAAGCAGTCCACAGACGACCCAACAGCTCCATTCATAGTTCTCCTGGCAATTTCTGTTGCCCTCCTCTTGTCCCTAGTGGGAGTCATTATCATGATCTTTGTGTGAGTTGCATAACACAGCAGAGTGCCACCATGATCTATTATTGGCGAGCGAAGCCAGCCTACCTAGTCCCATGTCAACGGGCCAATTTTCCATTTCTTTCTATCCGGCGATGCCACACATACCGTAATGTTCTAAATCAGCGACAGCCACCAAGCGTGAAATAATTAACTGCTCGTGCTAGCTCGCCAACAATGCCTTGCATTCCTCTAGTACAACTGTGTAGTCAGCCAATAGAGTTTGCACGTGTGTATTTGTACTGCAGTAAAAGTGCCCTGTTCTTTTGGTAGCAAGCATACGAGTCTATGCGCGAAAAGCATTGTTAAACCATTATGACCAATGTCCGTGACAAATAGCGACAACAGTTAGGTATTATGCAGTGGCTAGACTCACAATTTGCTGACCACATGCAGATATTAATCCGGTAAAGAAAGCTATCTGTGCTTTTCCCCTTAGGCTCTTAAACCAGACTGGTATGACATAACTGACACACTTTAGCTATCTTTGTCTTGCGTGCACCGCAGCTCACAAATTTATAGCCAGTAGTAAGCCCTTTGTTTTAAGAAGTAGTCCTTTATAGTCCTTAAGCTTCTTTGTATTTCTTTTTTCACTTCTCTTACTTTTATAAGCATGTGTCATATAATTCTCATAATTATTTACTAATCTACTATGTGATCCCAGGGTGGTAATATGGATGATGAAGACCAGATCATCTCGTAGAAAGGAAGACCAGAAGAGACTTATAGAGGAAGAAGAGGAGAAGGGAGGAGAAGGAGACGAGGGAGGGGGGAGAGTTGGAGATGAAAGAGAGAGCCCCTGGCAATCAGCCCGACATGCCACCGTCGTGTGTCAATGTTGCCTTTGGACCAGACACTGACCAGGAGAACGATGATGAAGATGAAGATGAGGAAGAGACAAGGAGTGAGGGGGCCTTGCTGAGGGTACCACCACCACAGCGGTAAGGGACTCCTTTGTAAACGTAGGCTAAGACACAAAGCTATAGGAGAGAATGATAAAAGAAATTGCCATGGCTGGCATGTCATTATGTATATATACATGACCTGTTTAGTTTTCAGTTTTCATGTATGCAGGGGTGATAGCTATACATAGGACTCAGTAAAGTGTTTGGGTGTCAGTTTGTCTGTGGTGGCAGTTACACTATTGAGCACACATCTGCAAATGGTCGCAACTGTGCTTTTAGAGGCCCTGCACATACCCCTGTAAACCCACCGGTGGAAACTGGTTCCTTCCCCCCTTTCTCCTGACTATTTTCTTCGAAACCAGTTTATTTCGTCAACAAGTGGTTGGCAATGTTGAAGCATTGTTGGAGGGCTACTGAGTAAGTATGTAAACCATTCCATCTAGCACAAACTAACACTCACACAACAAAAACATCTAAGTATACACTCAAAGGGCGAACAAGATAACTGAAACTTTGTGGACGGTATATATAAGCGTTGCTTTCATCCTGTGTGTCTTAGGTACCGGCAACAGAGCTCACAAGTGGAGCTTCCGTGTCCCTCTTCTTCTTCCTCTGCTGTTCTTCACAGTGATGTATCAATGGATCTTCCACAACAGAGGAGTGAGAGGGGGACAGCACAGGGGTCAGATGGAGTCAGCAGTGGTACTAGCAAGGGTGACCCTGTCCAGATGACTCATCTCACTCCTCCTACTGACAAACATAGAGTGGGCCACCAGAAGAACCACCACAAGTCTAAAGGTTTGTATGACTATGTACAGAGTATAGAGATAGGAATGGTACCTAGCATTATAGATGTATGGGGATATGATAGGGTACAGTGCACTGCTCTTACAGTAGGTATGGCTAAATTGTATGAGTTAGGCAAGGCAACATACGAATAAAGCTGGAAGTTTGTCAAGCCTGCATAATTGTACTACCGTGGGCAAATTATTTCGTGGCTGAGTGTTTCTACTGAATTGGTTTACAAAGCTGAAGTTACTTACTTTTGTGTGAGTTGCTTGGTATAGTCTGTCAGATTGTTATAATCATTGATACCCTGCATGCTCGTGTACTGGTGGCTCAATATTAGACTTTGGCTGTGCACCTTTGCTCCAACCACAATAAAGTTTGACCTTACAGGGGAGTGAAGCTAATTTCTCCCTCCCTCCGGCCAAACCACTTACTGAGACATGCCCTCTAATTGCCAAAAGGAACGAGCCTATACTTAGACATCTGAATACATGTGTGTATGACAGCACTGTCATATTATAGCATAAGGTTATATAAAGCAGATTTGAAATTTCTCTATCGTGTATACGTGTGTATGACATGTTTACTTGCCAAATGAAAAGCACTGAAGTGCAAACCCTCGGCGAACTGCGCATGCGCGGTACCACTAATTGATGGGATGGGCTTTTAGTATGCGTTTACTCGTGGTATCCACGCTAGTAGCTCGCGGAGAGTCTGACACGGACTAGCTACAGTAGTAGATAGCATGAGGAAGTCGATACACGCCCTTCGTTCTGCCTTCAAGATACACAGAGCAAGCGGCCCGGCAAAGCCTGTTCAAATTATAAGCGTATGCGCATTTTCGATAAAAATGGCCGACTACGCATTAGCCGTACAATGGTGGAAGCGCTCTAGCTTTGCAACGGAGCGTTTTCAGAGAAAACCGTTCGAAATTTCTGACCTTGCCCGTTAAGTAGGTGGTATCCTTTGTGAGACGAACGAACACTCGAGAAGTGAGATGAAGAGTAACAGACAGACACACAGACCCAACTCCAACTACCATAACCCTCGCGCCGAGGGTTAAAAATGCTCGTTCTAGTAATTATAATACTGCACACTGGTTTACATACGCGTGTATCATGTGTCCACCCACCCACACAGGAAGTCTGCAGACTGAGAGCCTATCAAGTGATTCAGAAAGCCTGAAGCTCCTGGTAAGCTCTATCCCTCAAACCACACCCTGCAACATGGAACTCTCTCCACTTTTTGTCACTTTGGTGTAGATAGGATAAATTTAGCAAAGATAGAGCTAAAGAGGCTAACCCTTACATTCCCTGGAATTCCCTTAGGGGGGCTTAATTTAGAAATGTTACTATAGGGCCCAGTGCAAGAATGCATTTAATTTAGCTAAATTTAGTCCTTATAATACTGCCACATGTAACACTATTAGATCTCGAGATCTGTACCCATCACTTGGTGGGTGTATTAGACATGTGTTCTTCGTGTATCGTACCTCTGTTTGAATGTGTACCACTCAATGACCAACTGCTGTATATTATATGTCACACTAACTTTATTGTTTGTCTCAACTCACACACAACAGACTGCAATGGAGGTCTGTGGTGGTGAGAGTGAGGAACAGGCGCAGAGAGAACAACCCAGTAGAGATGGTCTAACTACACTCTCTGTGGAGGAAGAGGAGGAGAAGATAGAGTGTGGGGAGGACAGTGAGAGAAGAGAGGAGAGGGAGGAGAGGGAGGAAGAGGAGGAGAGGGAGGAAGTGGCAGAGGAGGAAGAGGAGAAGATGAAAGAAGTGCCACCTCAGCCAGAAAAAGAAGAGTTGAAGGACAGAGAGGAAGAGGACATAACGGCAACTTTCATTGGTGAGGTGGAAGAAAGAGGGGGAAGAAGAGAAACACTGGAGGAGAGGGGTATGGCAACAGAGAACGCCGTTGTAATACAAGAAAAGATTGGAGAAGTCACGGTTACCTTTGAGCAGGTATATACAGACACTGCACCACCATATCGCAAAAACACGCTTCATCCAGTAGTACAAACATACGTAAAACTAAGTCATGTGATGCTGGGAAGAAAGATCTGGACAGCTATTTTAATTAGTGGAGCATACCATACACAACTTATGAAGCCAAACTATATTTTCTCAGGAGCCCCAAGTAGATGTGGGTGCATTTACGGCGTTTTGCCATCATGCCGTTACGACAACAGACTCTGTATCAGGCACGGTATGTACTGTAGCTACCTGTCCAACTGTAGGAGGAAGAGACAGGTGATGAGGACTCGGTAACTATGCTGCTGGATACTCAGATATCTGAAGAGGGAAGGGAAGAGGAGAGGGAGGGAGGAGGGGAAGAGGAGAGGAGGGAGGAGGGGAAGAGGAGAGGGAGGGAGGAGGGGAAGAGGAGGAGGGCTGCGGGGACCCGGCACGGGCACGTAGCGCAGTAGGGGCGGGACGACGGGCTGCGCAGGGCGCGGAGATGAGCGGGACGTTCGGAGGTCCCGATCGTGCCGTATAGAGGAAGACATTTACACCAGAAGAACATGCACCAGCACCAGAAGATGTGGCTACTAAAGAAACCTCGGCTGAAGAAATGGCAGAGAGCAAAGACAGGGAAAAGGATCCAGACATCCACAAGTACACACATACATAACGTACACATGTGTCTATCAGTATGGGTGTGTGGGTCCTCCAAAGCTGGTGTTCCTAACATCACACTCCCATCCTCCCTCTCTCTGTCCACACTGACAACGTTTCCAGTGTTGCTTTGACACACAGGCACAGCCTGGTTATTCGTAGGAGAGCATGGAGTGGTCAATAGGAAAGCCTGTAGCCTTGGGTCGGGACGCAGCAGTGACAGCAGTGGACTGACAAGACAAAGACACCTCCTCCATTATTAGTTTCAAATCCTCCTCTTGTCCGCTTTCCCCATAAAAGGTTGAAGACGGGGCCCATCTTAATTTTCAAAGTTAGAACTGCTTCAAGTGTATAGTGCATAGAGTTTGTGAGTATGTCTGGGTGCTGGTGCTCCAATTTCTGCTGCAGGATGAGCGTGTTTGTGGAGAAGGCCAGAAAGATGGGCCGCATGCCACTCATAGCTGAGCTGGACAGGTACGTACGTCTACTTTAGTAAAGGCATGATAGTCTAAACGTCAATGCTATAATCCACAACCACCTAAGTCATTCTAAAGTAACTCTACTGAATCGAGCAACAGCAGTTGGTGCATCCTACATACATACATGAGTCACGGTGCACTGTGTCAAATAATGATGTTGCACTGTTGCACTGTTGCACTGTTGCAATGGTATATATACAATTAATGTGCACTGCTGTGTGCTGTAATGTATGATACTGTGGCTAGCTGTGTCACCCTCTCTGTGTCACCCTCTCTGTGTCACCCTCTCTGTGTCACCCTCTCTGTGTAGGAGCCACCCTCTGGCAGTCGAGGAACTTGAGGAGCTGGTGACAGAGGCTCTGACAGGAGTCAAGGGAAGCAGACTCTCTTTGGAGTACAAGGTCCTTAGTCTCTCTCAAACGTGGCCCTCACATTTACCTAATATGCCTCACACACTTGTGTCTACTAGTGTGTCTGTTTTTTTTTACTACTCAATAGATATTTGTGTTCACTGTCCATTCATCTCCCCCTCTCAGACAGTGCCACACAATTCAGTCAAGTCTCTGCCACTTTCATCGGAGGAGAAGCGCAAAAACAGATACAGAAATGTTCTTCCCAGTACGCCCACACTTCCACTCTTTTCTCATCTACATGGCAGCATGCATGCCCCATATATAGGCCCACTGCTATTAATTTCCATTACTTCATAATTATTACTCCTTGGTGTTCACTTTGAGTATGAGGTCTAAAGTGCCACTTAATCATCACTATTGCAGACCCTGATTCTGCTGTGAGGCTGTCAGATACTGGTGTGGCTGGCTCTCAGTACATCAATGCCAACTACATCCACGTGAGTCGACGCCCAGTGGCTATTGTCCCATCCCTCATCAAAACCTCACTTCTGCCTCCGCACAAAAAGTATACTGGCCAACCAAAAGCTCATGTTTTTGTAAATTCGCAGTTGCTGAGCATTTAAGTACAGTACAAGCAGTACTGGGAATTTAAGTATTATACAGTATATATTATAATACTCAGGTGGCAGCTATAGCACTAGGGCCATCAACCACGCACCCAGAGCAATGGGCGGAACCGTTAACAAACGAACACAGACTAAAAGCTTTAAAGTATAGGTTTCCCAGCATTTTCCCGTACGTTTAATGTATATACTGCTTAACACAGTTGTTGAAAGATTGCCTATTGTGTCCTCCCCCCTCATCCTCTGCCCACAGGGCTATGGAGACAAGGAGGGGCAGTACATAGCAACCCAGGGCCCCACAGCCAACACCCTGGCTGACTTCTGGAGGATGGTATGGGAGAAAGACGTCTCCATCCTTGTCATGACAACCTCGCTCGTCGAGAACGGCACGGTACGTGACTCCCCCAACTCACCAACATCCTGTTATATATCTAATTAATCAGTCTGATTGTCAGGGGTAACCCATACGTACTAATTGAGGAGGGTTTCGGTCATTGCACCTGTTTTGTAAGTGCAGTAGGGTTAAATTGAACATTGCACTTTTGTGCTTATAGACAGTGATTGGTTACACACATTATATATAGACCCTACACAGGGGTAGATCCTACGTTTTTGTGAGCAAAGGAGATTGGGAAACATGACCAGTGGTTTATGAAATAGCTCGCCAGAGGTGGTGCAATTTTCTTATCATCATTCCTTTAGCATCCTATTACGTGTGTCTCTCCATTCTCCCTCCATCTATTCTCAATCGCCTCTCTCCCTCCTTTATCTCTTTCCATTTCCCCCCTCCCCTTCTTATTCTCCTCTCCTCCTATCCACAGCAAAAGTGTGTCAAGTACTGGCCAGGAGCAGACGACATGGACACTGTGAGTTGCTAACACCTATCAATTCATACTGCCACTACTAAATCAGCTATAGTCCCTTCTGTTGTCATTTCCCTTTGACTAATGGCGCTGTGCTGGTATAAAGCTGCATAGCTCATATCATTGGACAAATCATAAGGTTTTGATGTATAACTATGGCCAAGTGCATTATCAACACATACAGCATACTGTGTATACTTATTTTGCTCACACTCTGTGTGGTAGGTATGTTTGGTGAATGAAGTTAGTCCCGCACACACACACACACACACACACCACACACACACATGCACACACAATGATTATAGAAGAGGTCGTTGATTCACGAGGTAGCCACACACAAGTTAAGAAGCACATCTCTCGGTATTCATTCGCCAGCATCGTGGTCTAGAGTGGACGTATATTCACAGCGATTGCCCCACACACGTAGAGAAAGATTCATGCAGGAACTACGAATGTAAGGAGGACAGTGGCATTGCTGTTCCTGACACCCATCACTCCCTACAGAAACTCTTTGCGTAATCAGCCTTTTTAAACATCAAACTGGGTTCATATATGTACGTATATTATAGCGTCTTCAGTGTCAATTGTCCAACGGATCCATCCATATCGTAACCAAGGATACTAGAGTCCCACTGTGTCATTAGACTTTTGATTCACCTCTTACATTTACTGTTGGGGTGAATGCACCCAATTAAACTTCATTTGTTAGCATCCCCCCCTTTTGTGTGTTGGTCTACCCCCCACATGACATTAAATTAGTTAGGCAATGGAATGTTATGCAGGTCGCGAGAGCGAAACGCTGTGTATGGCATTGCTGGACATACACTGGTGAAACAATCCTACCTAGTCGCCTGAATTGGTCGTTTTTTCTATTGTTTGTGACTGGTGCTACACAGTTTAACTTGCTTGTGACACAGTGAGAATTCGTACTCGCTTCCCAATAATACATTCGTTCTACAGCATTGTACAGATGATATAGTACAGGCAGTAAATGGGCATAATAATTATATTATGCATTACACAGGTGGTGTATGGAAACATGGTGGTGAGGAACAACTATGAGGAGGCGACCGAGTCCTACACCACGTCCTACCTCTCCATCTATCCTCAGTCTCCCGATGTAGGTACTACTACAATATCATCTGTAGATGTCATATTATAGGGAATGGCTGTCGCATTAATTTTAAGCTTATTTGGCGGAAGAATTAGAAATGGTTGTGTAACGGTTGATCATCCACTGGTCAGAAAAGTGCATACATGCCCAAAAACCATCTCATTCGACCCCAGATTGTACCCATAGGAAGAGCATGTGAAATGAATGCAAATCTGCTTTCCAATCTCTCCCTTCATCTGTACTGACAATTCAAAGAGTGCCAGTTAAAACCTGCACTTGTCCCCCAGGGCCCCAGTCATGTGCCCTATCATTACATCCACTGTGCATGAGAAAACAGGCGCCTTGTGCCCTGTCTAAACTGGTGACCACAATTATGCAGCATTTCCTCCCGTTATGATGAAACGCGAGATTGTGTTCAAGAAAAAAAACCCTAGATGAGATACGTAGTTGCTGTCAGTTTTTATAGCTTTCACCCTTTCGACGTCATTGCATCCGGCACACCTCATCAGCGTGGAGTCTTACCCTCAAATTGTGGGCCAATCGACTGTACATGTAGTGAGCATGTGAAATGGAGTATGAATGCAAATCTGCTTTCCAATCTCTCCCTTCATCTGTACTGACAATTCAAAGAGTGCCAGTTAAAACCTGCACTTGTCCCCCAGGGCCCCAGTAATGTGCCCTATCATTACATCCACTGTGCATGAGAAAACAGGCGCCTTGTGCCCTGTCTAAACTGGTGACCACAATTATGCAGCATTTCCTCCCGTTATGATGAAACGCGAGATTGTGTTCAAGAAAAAAAAACCCTAGATGAGATACGTAGTTGCTGTTTTTATAGCTTTCACTCTTTCGACGTCATTGCATCCGGCACACCTCATCTGCGTGGAGTCTTACCCTCAAATTGTGGGCCAATCGACTGTACATGTAGTATCAGTATATAATATACACAGTGGGAGTTTTTTTGGTAGTGACGTATATGTCCTATTGGCAGGATGGAGGTGAGAGTAGTAAGTGAGTGTCTTGGGAGTGTGATTATAGCTGAGAATGAAAAAGTCCCAGCGAGTACACATTTGGTGGTCCATCAGACCACATGACTGGTGGTCTATCAACTGAGGAATAGTGAGCTCACCTGTGGGAAATGTGGGGACACCATAATTACCAGATCAATTCCTACGACTATGCGAACAGACTGGTATACTCACAGCTTTCTAGAAAAACATGTCGACCAGGTCTTAATCAGGTCTACCAACCTGCAGCTAACTATACACCATGCGTGCCTGTTATAGATTGCAGCTTTGTTGCATCATTTTTGTCCCATGTACACGTGGAGAGCCTGTGTTGCATTCAATAATGTCTCTTAGCACAAAATAATCATTTGATTGATTTGTGAGTTGTGTTGTGACTCCGTTGCAGGGAAGAGAGACGGGGGAAGAGAGAGACGTCTACCACTTCTGGCACACTGCCTGGTGCGACTTTGGTGAGTGACACGTTTTGTTACTGTGAATACTGTTTTTTCACGTATAACCACAAATATTGGAGCAAAATTATGTATGTGTAGCTGTCTTGTTTCAGAAGCACCGCACATAGAGTTAAGTCGTCGGCAATGAAATAGAATTGTGTTCTTTGGCTACACGTGATGTTTCACACATACGTAGTAAACGAAAACAGTAGCGGTAAACGTGTGATATATTCCTCAACTGCCACAGCATGCCACTGATGGGATGGCACGTAACTCAGCACGCGTATACAGTGTCAAATCCTCCCCACAGTCAAAACCAGAGATGCGAAAAACACGCCGACTCGGCATTTCACTTTCTCAAGTGTACATTCACGTCCAGCCTCCTCCAATGCAGCGATGCGCAGGAAAACGAGGTTCTAATTTTCCCAAACTGACACTAGGTGAAAGCGAGAAGCTGTGAAGGCCTGAGGGAGTAGGTAGGGAGGTAGGGATCACTCTAGAGGAGTGTATTCAGCCCAGTAATACCCGAGGTATCAACTGACTGTATCAGTACCCTATACCTGGGTGGCAGCCACTAACCCAACAGGCTCGGCTTCAGCTTAGCCGTGAAAAATCTTTCCGAAAATTAATGATCGTAGATCGGGTTACTCCCGGGCCGAGAGTTACGTAATTACTCGAGAGTGTTGTGCAAGTTCTCCGAAAGAGGTCTTGTATTCCAGTTAACTATTTTACCAGGAGGGCGGCTCTTTTGCTGAGCGTAGGTATATTAATTAGCAGATGATTCTCTAGATTTTCCAACAGATAAAGATGCATTGTCATTTCATCACTAGCATGCATGCGCAGCGAGGGCTGTGATTATAAGTGTGGCTGTCCTGTCCATTCATTTTCATATCTGTTACCACCACGCACAACAAGGCAACAAAAAGTTACTCCAACATGCCCAGTGCTATGCTGGCATGATTATAATAATGTAAAAGCACTGTTATGCGAGAGAAAAACATAGTCTCCATATTTTTTACTGGGACCACATGCTAGTGAACACACAGAGTGCACCAAGTGTCTTGAACCTTTCAATTTCCTTGGAATGATAAATTGCCTGCAGATTAAGTTTCAATAGCCACTACAATGCATGAGTGGTCTGCCATTCTTCCAAGTAAGGCCCTGCATATTATGCATTGAGCTTTGATGGAAGCTGTGTCAAATGAATGTTGTTTGTGTGCCGATGTGAACCACAAGGCAATGTCGCTGCGTGACTTTCGGCAACTTCATTCTGCACCCAGGACCCCCTCTCCGTATCGCGAGAGCTGCTCGCTTTCATTTCTGACACAGACACAGTCATCCCGGCTTTTGTTTCGGGAACGATTATACAGTTGCTGACTCGCAAGGATCGCACAGGGTGGCAGCGAGGGGGCCCTCACCCCACCCCCAGACCCAACCAGAAGCTGATCTTACACCGGGAGGGCTCCATTCTCTTTGATCAGTGGTTGCTATGCCCTTAATAACTGCCGCAATTTGGACATTCTCGCAAACAACAAGAAAATTGGAGAAATCGCGAATAACACGGTGGCGCTGGCTGTCTCGTGCAGTCCCACCGCAGCTACTGTGTGTGGGTGATAGCTATTTTATGTGAGTGTGTGTGGCTGTTGATAGATAGGGTGTCTTTGTCGTCCAACACCTCAGCTCTTATATTGGCCTGCCATCTATAGCAACCCAATCCCATCCTCCTGCATTCGCAATAATGCCATCAGTGACGGAAAAGAATTCGCAGGTTTTTTTCCACGTAACAACTCCATATTTGGTCGTGAAATTTGGTTTATCCAAGCAGCATATGTGCTCCTTTTACTCACATTTTTCACTCAGTAGTTAAAACCTAAAACTATGCATAGCACATGGCTATGAGCCAGTTTCCGCATACTATTTCTAGGAAAATCATGCTATCAGTGCCAGCGCTTTGCATTATAACCCAAGTACCTCACCAAACACACAATAATTATTGTTTAAGATGGCAAGCTATTGGCATTTTGTAGGCACAAAGCAATGTTTTGACAAGCAAAGTGAATGCCCCATGAACTATATACCATTTTGTGATGTTCCCCCATATCACATATGATTTTTGTCATCTTGTTCTGTTGCTGGTATTATACATTGTGATACGTAGGCATTGCAAGCAAAAGTGCATAATATTTATACCCCAGAGCGCAATTTTGCGACTTCCCCCCAAATCACAAAAAGTTGTGATATTGATATTTCGTGACCTTGACTGAAGTGATTGTGTCGTTGCAGGTGTTCCACGGGAGACTGGATCGACCCTGAGACTGAGAGAGGCAGTTGATGCATTCAGAGCCCCCACATCTGGTCCAGTACTTGTCCACTGCAGGTCTGTAGCACACACCTGCTTAGCATCAACCAGTATACATACACATGCAGTGTGATACGTACGTATGTGACGAATTGACGAAATGATGTCATTCCTAAATTTGTGCTCCCACAGCCAAGCCTCCCTATACTTAGTGAGCAAAATTAGTAATGGATGCCCACGTGCATTGCTTACTCGCTTGGCTCGGGATTGTCAGCAACATAGGTTTACTTGATTCCCCCATTTTCTTGGTACGACCATAAACTTATTTTCCACAAAAATTCTCATAGTTGGTGTATACGTACAGGTAGTGACATTACCAGGATACGGTTTGCTGTAGCAAAATGTCAGTCTTTGGCAGTGGTCATGTGGCTATTGCAGACAAGAGAGTAGCAGCAGAAGCTCGCTACAGCTTTGTAAAGTATAGCTCTGGGCCTTTTTCGCCAATCTGCCTGTCCCGCCGCTACTTGCTAGTCAACTGTAGAATTCCTCTTGAATGGTGAAAAACTACGGTTTGGCTTAATGTCAGGGGGAAAATCACACCACTATTATTATGGAGCATGGTTATGCCTGTACTTTTTTACATCAAGCTACTGTTGTTTAGTCTTGTTATTATAAACAGCACGTGCATCTCGATGACGTGTGGGCATAATACATTAGCCATGGTAACAGTTAAAGTTCAAGAGAAGACTCAGCAAGCCATGGTAAACGGGAGTATTATCGCCTGCCCTCAGCATGTATTGCCTCGTATTTTACACTGGCGTTCAGTAAGTTTGTGTTAGAATTGATGCTTGGCATTAGAACACTACATCAATACAATAAGTAGTATAAATAGTGATAGAGAGCATTAAATAAATGTGCAACATAGATAGAATAAGTGATGATCTGTATAATAATGCAGTGAGAGATCTGTCCATCTCTAAGACTAAGGTTGAGTGGGGATGCGGTTCAGTAGATGAGAAGTGATATAATACATTTCCATGTGGATTATATCGTCAAGTGGTTGTGGCCATCATTATGTGATAGGTCTGGAAGGTCGTTCATACATTGCAGTTAACCTGTCTGATCTTTACTTCGGTCAGCTTGTACGTGACAGCTCGTCCGGCGTCTTCGCTGTACCACCCTGACAGGTGTCCGTGAGTGGAGGTGAGTATTCCTCCACGCGCACCGCCACAGTTGGTATCAAACCACCAGCCACCACCACTCTGTCGGGCACAGTTCGTACGGGAGTCCTGGTCTTTTGTGAAGAACATTTTCCCGTTGAACTCTCGCAGGCTGTCGCTGGCACTGCTCTTGTCTGCTATGTAGGGTCCCAGCCGGAGGACGTACCCCTCGCTGGTGTCTCCGATCGAAACGTTGGTGTAAAGAGCGTGAACCCGCTCAGAGTCTTGAACAAGGTCCACTCTCAGCTCCCAGACATCTCTACTGGTGATGTGGTTGAGGGATTTGAGTCCGTACCAGAAGGACTTCCCGGGCTCCAGCTCTCCAAAGCCATCTTCGTACTGGGTTATGTTTCTCTGAAAGTCGAGCGTGCGCTCCCTGCGGAAGATGACGAGCCAGCCTCCACCGTCCGTCTCCAAGTCGCAGTAGCCGTAGGTGGTCGAAAACGGTCCGTAGTGGCCCAGCGCGTACTGACCGCTCTGGTGGCTGGTTGTGGTGGAGTTTACACCAGTGGTCTCTGTGGAGTTTGCACCAGTAGTCTCCGTAGAGTTGTCAGAACTAGCAGCAGCTGCTGCCTTCTCAATCATGCTACGTTGGAGGTCGCAGCACGATTCCCAGGCGAGGAGGGGGCAGTCTGGGTCGTTGGTTGCATTCCTCGCTTCTCGTACGTATGCTGGGGCACAGCTGACAAGCAGTGTCTGCAGAGCAACTGCTAGCACCACCACCAAGGCCACAGTAATCCTGCAACTAGACATTGTTCCGCCTTTGGAAAAGATTTACTCTTGTTGCTCGAGGAAGTTGGGTCAGACTCTCTTTCTTGGAGAGATAATAGAGCTGGTTCTGACTCTGTTCTGACTCTGTTCTGCTGAAGTGTCCCTCTTCTTTTATACCCTCTTGACCTCTGGCCATATCCTGTGTCAGTGCCATATTACATAACAGATCCTGCAAGCTGTAACTTGAGCTGCAGGCAGAATGATTGCCTATGGGATGCATACCGCTCAGTGGGCGTGCTGCATTTTCTTGTAGGGGTAAGGGTAAGTTTATGTGTGTGTGTCATCAGTGGAGCTGATCTCTCTGTGTAACTGGAAGTTGATCTGTAAGGAGGGATGGGACAGTGTACACAGCTAATTGGTATAATTAGGATAAGATTTTGAGAGTCATCGCCCTAATGCAGACAGTGGTGCTCTCTTTTGGAAATGGGTGCTTGGTCACTCGTAACTGACTGTAATAGCTACGTAGGAGCAGTGGGTGGAATGGGGTTTTGGTTTGCTGGCTTTTTTTAAGTGATGCTGAACGTTGCAACTTCAGTTACTTCGCTGCATGTTCGATACATACGCGGCACCTCTCGAGGTCCCCTCATCACACCTCTGCTTACTGGGTTACATCACAGCTGGTAACTTTCAAACCTGAGATGAGTGGGAGGTATCGAGTGTAACGTCATGCATTCGTCCTATACACCACAGCAGCTCTTCCCGTGAACTGCTATAAACACCCGAAACAGATCTCTTTCTTACGGGAATAATATTGGTCGTTCAATAATTTTTGCCTGCAGGGTCAAGTATATAAATGTTTATTAGTGGAAATTAGCTGTACTTTCTCTTGCCTGCAGTGCTGGATTGGGCAGAAGTGGAACGTTTATGGCCATCGATATGGGGATTCAACAGGTAAGAGAAAAGACTATATTATAGCTATAATACCTGTATGTGTGGATAATGAAAACGGCTCTGTTGCAGTATGAGGCTGAAGGGGTGGTTGATCCGCTCAAGTACATGTGTGAGATGAGGCAAGATCGAGGAGGCATAATTCAAACAGCGGTGAGTAAAATATTGGGGAGTTGGTCTTGTGAACCAGACAGTGTTTTTCCTTCACAAAGTGGGCAGAGGAAAGCATCTGGTTCACAACCTCTTTTGTTGGCTAGTATTTAATAAACCAATCTGAGCTACAATGTACTCTTGATGTGTCATATATTAAAACGTCTCTGATTTTCTATCTATCTTAGGATCAGTACATATACATCCACAGAGCTCTAAGAGACTATATAACCACACTGTGATGATGATGATGATGATGCTGGGACAGACACATGCATGTCGTTTTATATCGTTATATACTACATTCCTATATAAATGTTTTTTTATTGCAACCATCTGCCTGTGCTAAATATAGTCGCACACATTCAGATGTGGAAGTATACAGCATGCAAAACAGGCAGAGTGTGCAATATACATTGTGAATGCCTAGTAGCTATCCTGACTGCCAGTATGCAGTGCCGAACGTCTGAATCAGTAGGAGAGATTTAGTCCGCCGTCTGGAAGTCAGGCAAAGAGTGCAACATGCTAGTAGCTATCCGGACTGCCAGGATGGCACGTGCCGACGTCTTTGAATGAATCCCCCAGTAGGAGATTTAGTCACGCACGGCTGGAAGCAGGCAAAGAGTGCAACATGCCTAGTAGCTATCCTGACTGCCAGTATGCAGTGCCGAACGTCTGAATCCCCCAGTAGGAGATTTAGTCACGCACGGCTGGAAGCAGGCAAAGAGTGCAACATGCCTAGTAGCTATCCTGACTGCCAGTATGCAGTGCCGAACGTCTGAATCCCCCAGTAGGAGATTTAGTCACGCACGGCTGGAAGCAGGCAAAGAGTGCAACATGCCTAGTAGCTATCCTGACTGCCAGTATGCAGTGCGCACGAACGTCTACGTATGGAGATTTGTCACTGGCACACGGCTGGAAGCCGACTCCATATAATGATCACCAGACTGTAATGCTCAGTGGATCAATGTTACGGCTTCTTTCAGTCTCTCCTACATACTGTACCACCTTACACACACACATACACATTGCAATGGGTCACCTTTATTAACACCACACCAGCTTGCTTACATCACAAGGCCTATATAGGCAGGAAGTTAAATTCTGAACTCTCTTTACTTTTCAGACAGTCAGTTTAGCGGTGACTTTGACCCGATGGTCGACATGGGCAGTCAAAAGAAGACAAAATCAGCATAATTGTAGCTACAATGCTCTATAATAGCGCAACCAAGAAGAAAAGTTATATACGTACGCCTGAAGCAAGCCTGGGTAAATGTTATTAGTCACACTCGACTTGATATGTAGTATGCCATTTGCAGTGTCTGGGTTGAAATTCGCAATGATTTTCTACGAGATCCTTGTTGTAAGAGATCTAGAATGTTAATGATTGGTATGTATATAGAAAATGAACCATTTCGTATAATTATACTACTGTGTGGTTTAATACATAAACTATTCTGTGTTACGTTAATGACAACAAATATTATATACAACATATTTTGACGGAATACAATTAAAAGTTGATGAAGGAGAGCCTAACGTACAGACGGAGAGAGTGAAAGATCAGACGTACAAACAATAGGAATAACACTGAAAAACTATGACCGATTATCATCCGCGGCCGAGTCAGTCGCCATTATGTCGGGCTTGTTGTTGCTGCTGTTTGCATTAGTAATGGAGCTGGTGTCTATTGGGGTGAAGAAGACTGGGGTTGTGCCGGGTCCTGCTGAGTCGACAGTTTCTCGGCCAGCTGTGACGGTGTGCAGTGGAGGAAACGACACTTGGTGCCGAGACGACAGCCGTGGGTGACAAAGTGTTTGCAGATCTTTGAGAAAGCTTCCGCATGAGGCCCTGTGTGTGCAGAGTTGCTAAATCAAACAAAATGCTGCTACAGATCAATAATTACTATGACGTAGTACATTATGCCTATTCCGACTGAATGCTTGGGTGTGCATGCACGGTGCTTTTGAACATGGACACTGCAGCTGTAGCTTAGCCCACGTGTCATTTCACTGCATCGCCAGTTGGTGAGACGGCGAGAATAAGAAATGACAAAGGCCAGACATGCTCGGGGCGGAACGATGCAGCCTAAACCCAATTAGAGGATAATTACCGATTGTCTACAGACCACTCAGTGCAGCTCTAGGTAAGAAGGCGAACATCACCGAAAAGGAGTCCCTGGTTTGGAGACATTAGGTTTGTGGCCGGGGCACTTATGTGGTATTAGACGCAGTATATATACTCGTGAGAAGGTCACGAAGATTACTGGCAACGTTCAGAGCGGCTGCATCGGAAAGCCAAACAAACAGATGGTTCGCATTTTGAATAAGTTTTAACAGTATATACAATGGAGTAAGTGTCTCCTATATGGATGGGAAAGGTCACAAACGATTAAATCAAACGAGTTACCCTACTGAAGAAGCAGTTTTTTAAAAACAAAGCTAAGCATATCCCCAGTTGAGGTTTAATTGAGTCAACAATTCACAGAGAGAGGGTGAGGATGAGAGTAGGAGGAAATTGGAGGATTATATGGGTGGTTATCCTCATCTCTTCCCCTTTCCCTACTCCCTTTCTCTGCCTAATCAAGTATGTGCCAGGTAATGGATTAGACTGCCAAAATTTGTCTCGCAACATTAGGCCGCGCAGTGGCTAACACAAGAGTGACGAGCAAGGTGGCTTTGCTGGCAAACCCACAATTCCCGTGTCTGCTTCAATTTCAAGGTCTGTTGCCTTTTTCTGTAGGAGATATCCTCTCCCTTTCCCCTCCCCTGCCTGCCTCTCTATCCTCACATTACCTCTTACATCACCTGTAGCCACTACAGCGATTACATGCCTGATTTCCTGACAGTTTCGCTCATTGAGTCAGTTTTTCCGCTGCATTGAACAAGCTTTAATGCATGACTGCCAGCAAGTAATGTTTTGTGAGAGGTAAGCCTGCGTTTAATAAATGAAAGGCATTGAAGTGCTAAACCCTCGGCGTGGAGCCCCACAGTGGGGCTATAGGCTGATACGCACACGTGTACATGTCAACGTACCTGCGGTAGCCTAAATCAACCACGTGGTGCGTGTATGCACATAATATGCTCTGGCAAAAACACTGAGTGCATGTAGCGGGGCTGGGTGCGTGCGCGATCGATCGCTCATATACATGTGCATAATTAGGCTTTCTCGCTTGTTTTCACGCCATATCTCTGGAACGCAGTCATTTCAGACAAATCGCCATTTTAATTTTCGGGTCGACGTAGTTCTGAAGCCGTTGGTATCGCTCATGGGCCGCCTCGTAACGTGTAGTTCCAGAATAAGAGTAGACAGACGGACAGAACGACTACTGTAACCCTCGCTGCGCATGCGCGCGCGCGGGTTAATTACAGTTTAGATATTATGCACTAGAGTAAATTGACAGGTGCACACAATACCTTTTCCATATCCGTGTGAAAATCCTCTCCCTCTTCCGCGATAGCCCCCCCTCATTCCTCTCCTAATTGGAGGGGCACCTCCTCCGTAGTCGCCGTAGTACCAACCCGTCATGGGACCGTTCCAGTCTGGATTGTGGACTCCAGGGGGGAACCCCTGTTGATTGTAGTTATTGTAAAAGTCTCCGTCCCCAACACTGGGATGGCATCATTCCGGGGCCGTTTCCATGGAAATTGTGTGTGGTCACCGGGGAGGGTGGAAGGAATTCTGGATCGGAGGGAAGGTGGGTGTGGTCTAGAGTCTGGTGGCATGTGACCTTGCCCTGCAGCAGGGGAGTGACAGAATAATATATGACAAAGGAAAGCAGAGCAAATTTGTATGAAAGAACATTTACACATTACAATTTTTAGGACTCCTTATGACCCATACCCATGAAAAACTAACAGTGACAATTCACCCCACACAACCCATTCACGCTAACCAAATACATGCGTAACTGTGAAATAAAGCACATTAGAACCCTTGAGCCTTCCAAAGTAGACTAGTTGTAATCATGTGACATGCGGAAAAAAGGTGTATATATACATCATTGAAGGAGTTGATGAGTGACTGTGCAAAAACTGGTGGAGGATGGGGGCAGCAGGAGAATGGAGGGGACGAACCGCGGCAGCTGCGTCGTCATTGTGGGAGGATAAAGAGGAGCTCCGCCCACTCTGGTGCGGAGGAGACGAGAAGGTCCCGGCGAACTCTGCTGCTGACGCGTCCCACTGGGGGCATGGAGTAGCGAGGGAGGAGGGAGAGGGAGGGAGGAACGCTGTTAAATTTGAGAAAGTGCTTGAAAGAAGGCGGTTGATATTAAAATTACACAGATGTGCAGAGGGGACGAAAATGGTAACTTTTCAGTAATGTGAGAAGCAGAGTATATAGGCGGCAAAGTGGCAATTGCCGGAATGCGCTTGAAGCAAGAAGGTATGCGATTGAGAGTGCACTGAAACGAGGAGTAAGGAGAGAAGAAGCAAGAAATAGAGAGAGTACTGTCGATGAACTAGTCCCTACAAGATCAGTTACCAAACGAAATAGATACTCGTCAAGTGCAGAAGAGTGGAACACCGTGTGAGGTTGGGGAGGAGCAGGACTGAAAAGGTGTGTGTGTGAGACGTTGTTGAAATGAAGCTCACAGGGTACGAATATCTCAGACAGAAACGAGTTACCTGGAAGTGGTGTTTCATAGGAAGACCCCCCACGAAACCCCCCCGGAAAGAGACGAGACCGAGACTCAGAAAAATAACCCCCCCCCCCGAGACGAAACAGAAGGAGCCCCCCAAGACGAAGCCTACGACCCTTGAATATAGACCGCGCCCGAACCGCCGACCAGACCCCCCCGGAAACCCCCCCCCGGAAAATAACCCCCGCCAACCCCGACGGAGAGAACCACACACAATCCATCCCCCCCCCATAACCGACGAAACGACTAAAGAGAAATCACTAAGAATACTAACCATAACCTATGATACAAATGATAATACCCAACATAATACCACCTACCTATCCAAAAATAAATCCGGCCCCCTGAGCGTAAACCCCCTACCAATCTGATGTGTCCTCGCCGCCCCTCCTCCCCCGCTACCCCCACCCGCCTCCCCTCCTCCCGTTCCACTCTCCTACCCTCACCCCCCTCCCGTCCCCCTCCCCCCCCCTCCCACCCCCCCCCACGTCCCCGATCCCCTCCCCCGTCCGCCCCTCGCCCTCGGCTCGCCCTCCTAGCCGCTCCCTTCTCGCCCCCTCCGTCCCCTCACCCTCCCCCCCTCGCTCCTCCCCGCCTCTCCGTCCCATCCCCGCGGCTCCCACCACTACCCCTCCCCTCCTCCTCCGCCGATCGACCCCGATATCCCCACGACCGACCCTACCCCCAACTACTGAACCCCGAAGAGGACCTAACCCCCATAGACAGAAAACCCACAGATAGAACCACATAAACCTAACGAATCAGACGC